ACCACCGCGCTTTAAGATTTCAATTGCATATACCCTCTTCTGCTCACCTATAGTTATTTAAGGGGGCATGTGTGTTAGGCTTAGGGTCCAGGTTAGGGATGACGGAGGGGCCCTAACTTTTCGCCCCCCGGGTGTGGTGTACTGTACACTTCTATGTAATAATGTAACATAGCGAATCTGTGTGTAATTGAACACGTGACAGATTTGTCCGGATTATTGTCTTTCTACCCCCGAAGCCATCATGTATAGATAGTGGGGTTGTATCTCAATCACAAAATGCTGGGGAAAAAGTACGGAGGAAGTAGCAAAAAGGTCAATCAACATAACCACTCTTACGGTATTTCTACGTTAAGGCGGCAAGTGTTGTGGTCAACAATATCATTGCCACCGTGATATTGTCAAAAAAGGGGCACGACTGTCTTACCTGTTAACAACAAGCAGCCCAGTATCGACCACGTAACATGCATTACGGCCCGGTATTGCAGAGCTGTGTGGTCGTGTTTCCAGCTGAGGCAGAATTTGATACGTCAAAAACCTGTTAACAAACAAGCTGCTCACTGATTGGTCTGACTGTTAGGAGTTAAGGCTCGTTAGCCAATCAGGCACAGTCCTGTAAGTCGCTTTGCACTGACTACTGCACTCGGTACAAACAAACTTCACTTTTGCTGGGCTGTGTTTGATGTGAAACACAACAGGTGGTTGATCCTATTGTTCTACTTCAAATACTAAAATGTGACTTTTGTATTGCTCTCTGATTGGCCATGGACTCAATGACACCGATAATCGGTCTGTTATCTGTAGGTATCGGGCCGGGCGGGGGGGGGGGGGCAATACATATAACTTGCCTAATAGGGACGTGCCCCTGAAATGGGTCTCGTTTTTTTGGATTTTAGGTACAAGTATCGGTCTTATTTCTGGTCAAGATATGTATAAATATCGGTAATATTTTTCCCATTTGGTATACTTATGAGCGAATATCTCCACCTCAGATCCTGGCCTTAGATCCATATATACATCAAACCGGGAATTAAACAAGGCAATCAACATTTAAACGGAGATTTAACACGGAATCGAAGAGGGCGCACATTCCTCAGTGAAACTTATTTGGAATAAACAGTGAAGACAGAAATGGTACTTTGGTATAAATGTGGGTATAGATTTTGCCACTATCCAGGTATAAAAATAGTCACACCTTTGAGCACTCAGGGACACCTCCCTACCCAGCTATGTATCAATCCCCCCCGGGGGGTATCGAGTTCAAATCCATATCGTATTCAACAGCAGCACCGAACCAACGCCTCAGGAAAGCGCGTTAATTCGCACTGTGGTAGGAATATGTCATGTAGTCATAGAATATATGTAATATTCGATGTTGGGATATTTCGCCTGTTACAATTTTTTTATAAAAGTGCTACATTTATGATACTGGAATTCAAGCTGCATGGACGTCACGTGGTCTTGTCGATATCATATACCCTGACGGGTCTTTCAAGTTGTGATAAAGTACATGTGATTCAAATTACGTTGCCATAGCAAAATTGAATAACGCGTAATTTCATATGTTTCCTTGTGCCATATTGTGTTCATTAAAGCACTATTCCAAGATGAGGATGTAACAATAACCGCTGCACTGTGTTTACATTCCAGACGGTTCAATTTCAGTGTTACTACTGTATTTTTTCTTTAGAAGGGACTGTATTAGTATTATACCCTTCGGCAAGGTAAATTGTATAACACTCAGTTAATTTATTACAATTCCAGGAAATGTTAATATCTTAGTCAATGTCAATAAAGTCATTGGTGTATTTTTTTATTCCACCATTAAAAGACTTGTTATCACCTTTGTTTTTCGTCCGGTATATTTTGCGTAGTTTTATAAATTTAGCTAGTTGATATATTTATTAACAATTCTGCAATTGACCATGTCCGTGGAAGACATTTGTGGTATTTAAAAATAAAATGCAAATTTGATATATTAATTAAGCGTGTTAAGGCCCTCGGGGAAACACGTCAGCCGTGTGGCTGCATGAATTCGTCCCTCTGTCGATAAAGATGAATATCTTGTTATTCATTTGGAAATAAGGTATTGGTTTAAACGAGCGACATTTTCGACTCGAAGCACAACTCGTCTAAATTCCACAGATATCATCATTCACGTGCATGCATTTGATTCATCGGTCGCGCCAAAGGTGAGAACTACGAAGGATATTTACTTTAACAAATTAGCCAGAATAATAATGGTATCTCATTTAAAGTAAATGTTCTTGGCCTTCCTAGAAGCAGGGTTTTTTTAATTGTAAAAAATATTCACTTTTCAACCTGAAATGCAAATACAATACATGTAAAAGAAATAATAAATAAAAAAAATTGCTTTCTAACGATCACTCACTTCAGAACAATTAGAGTCTTGTATTACTGGTATTACTAGACGAGTGCATATTCCAAAGACAATTCAGCTCTTATTTTACGGACATATAAATCACACTCGTCTGAAACAAACTGATGATATCATAGGGTCCGCGGAATAAACCGAGTTCGACGAAAAAAATGTATCTCCGCTGGTACTGTAGCATACAGTTAACAGGGTCCACATGACGTTAATCAGCTCATGTGAAATAAGCACGGAAATTACGTACTGTTGCATACGGTGCACAGTTGCAGTTATTGACATGGAACTAATCTATTGAGGGTCAAACGATGAGATGCGATAACACGTTGAAATACCAAATTGAACCCGTCGTCATGTAATGTAATTTGACAACTCAATACTGTGATTGACCACAAAAGCTACTGCGTATGAATTAACCATATATATTCACCTATAAACTGATTTTGTTTATTTCTGAAAACAATACAACCACTCACCTACTAAGACGATTAATATAGCCACACATGTTGAATGGGTCGTTCTGATCGTCATATTGTCTGTCTGTAGTGGTCAGCAAGCCTTTGTAGATATCAACTGATACAGACTAAGTCATCAAAATATACACCTCCAGTTGCTTATGAGCGATCTGTTGTGATAAACAATGTACTGCCTCCATTCATCAGGACAGCGTCACGTGACTACCAACAACGCATTTTTTAAAAATAACTACGTGTATTTCTATTTTAAATTTCAAATCCCCTATCACCACTACTATTTATTTTTCTTTAAATTATTCATATTCATTCATTCAGTTATTTATTCGTTCGTTCATTTATTCATGCTTGCATTCATTCATTCAATCATATTTATTTATTTATTTATTTATTTATTTATTTATTTATTTATTTATTTATTTATTTATTTAATTAATTTATTTATTTATTTATTTATTTATTTATTTGTATATTTATTTATTTATTTTTATATTTATTTATTTATTTATTTATTTATTTATTTATTTATTTATTTATTTGTTTATTTATTTATTTATTTATTTATTTATTTATTTATTTATTTATTTATTTATTTATTTATTTATTTATTTATTTATATTCCTTTATTATATGTACTCAAAACCAGTTCCAGAATAATTGAATTCAAAATATTCACACAACCATTATTTCTACTCACTCGCTGTATTCTACGAATTTTCCTTTTCAACCTATTAAAAAACTAATTAATTTTGTAGTTTCAAAATAGTGTGTCTGAAATACGAGTTCGATCACGCAAACAAGATGGCCGCTTTGAATTTTGAGCCAGTAGATGCCAAGCCATATTTTGTGAGAAAATTCGGTCACAAATTATAGGACAATGCTTCTTTGAGTTATTGTGTACAGACATCAAACCAGGTTATGTTGTGTGTAACCACAATATTTTGAGAAATAATCACATGGCTATTTTTAGAACGCAATGGTTCATGAAACACAATATTAAAACAATGTATCACGTTTATCACGTTTTAAAATCCACAATGTTTAAAATAATTCAAAATACAACCAAATGTAATATTAATCACTATATATCATGCATTCGCCCATATGATCCAGTCATTTGAGACAGGACATGTCATCACCATAGAAACCAATAGTTAAAAAGTTAGAATACTGACAACATGGCGGTTTTTACTAAAATATCATAACTATCATTGTTATATACATCGATGCGCATTTTAATCTATTGTAAACGCGAGATATGGGCGCGGGTCTCGTAAATGAGCAAAGATGGCGACTTTGATTTCTGCTCAGACCATCGAGTACAAACTAAGACGTTACTAAGCTTTAACTAGGTGGTTTTTTTTGGTGATTGGAAGGGTATCGAAGAGACGCCGGCGGTAATTAGTTCACTTAGCGCCCAGGTCACAACTCGTACTTCTGATTCCATTAGAAGACGCTTTGGATTGTGGGAAATCAATTGTTATCAACACATACTAACGCACATGCGCGGCACGACGACAACCGCCCTTTAAATTTTTATTAATCGGGTAAGGTCATCTATATTTATAAAGGTTAACAAATTACGATGTGAACAAGTTTCACGTCCTATCGCGATTAAGAGCGCGTTCGTGACATGAAAATGACAGAAGAATGGGAATGAAAGATGCCCTTCGCCACTAGAGGGCGTGATTTATAGGGTAAATACATCGCTAATCAATGTATTATTTACATTTCGCAGTTGACGTCATATTTTCCATTATAGTAAAAAACGCCCGATTTATTTCAAATATGATAATATTGGTTTTGTCACGATTGTTAAATTAACAAATCGAATTTTTGGTCACATGATATAAACTTGATGTTCGTCATACTGATTTCACAATGAGTTCATTTCGTCGAATAAAATGTGTTCACGATTAAAACCCAGATAATCTTGGAAAACCCGACAATAACACGTGCTTGCTAAATCGTTGTGCTTTCTTTTGATTTAAAGGGCGGCAGTCGTCGTGCCGCGTCCTGTTCGATATGGGACTCATAGCGACGTATACAGCGCGTGTAAAATACATTGTTTATTCACATGAAATTCGAACACGCGCTGCGCGACGACCACCGCGCTTTAATCATAAGACTGATATGTAGTAACGAATCCAGTACGTTTACGTGACAAAGGTCTTTCGATGATCTTTGCATTGGTGTTTATTAAATATCATTTACATACGCAATTTAATGTGAATCAATAGAAACGACATAATTGTATTTACAGTCATGTATGCCGATACTTAAATATTCTGATTGGCAAGTCATCTTTAATGCTCGCCAGTAATCAACCTCACAGGAAATAACATTTGACTCATATTGATCGCAACTATAACGTAATACAATATGTAGAACGTTTTTAATATCCCCGGTAATAAACATGATGTGAATAACAGAGGTTAGACTCCCATAGGCAAAACAAATATTACAATAAAACATCAAAGTGACTCTCCTTTAACAGGAAATAACATTTTACATCGTATTTAACTTCAAAGGACCGTGCACACTGTGATCTACTCCCAGAAGGGTAATGTCAGTCACAGCTTTCAGAACTATCATCATAAACACATTTATTTTATTAATTTTACTGATCGTGCTTTCTGTTGATGTGGATGCAAAGACACAACTAATGGTGAAAAAATTGTTTGGAATTTGTCAGCGTACATCAATCAGAATAATCCAACGAAATACTAGTATAAAGCCAGTCTTCTTCAAATGACGCAGAGTTCTCTGCCACTTCGTTCTTGACGGAAGCTGAAATCGATTAGCCACGTGCTCACTTTCGTAGCTTGTTAACAGTATCAGGGGTAAATGTGTGTGGCATATGTGTGGTTCGTTGTTTGCATCTTCTTCATTTCTTGCATCTTAACAATAAACGTCGCATATTTTAAGGTAATACAGATTGCAATAATGCAGCGTAGAAAGATTGAAGCCGCAAGTACTGGAGTTCCCACCAGCGTACGTTCGATAGTTTAGACTCGCTTTGACATTCGACATTCGGCATTGTCATTGCTGCGTACTTCATACAGTGAATGCCATTTGTCGCAGTAAGGATGTACACGCTGCATTCAGACACCAGAACACAAAAAGCTGAACACGTGACACTGGTGATATTTTCAATGGCCTCCTCTCTCTTTTCGTTCATATATTTCTTTACACACGGACGATTCAACCTTATACAATACAACTGTATGTAACAGCATGTAAAAACATATTTGCAAGTGGCTGACTACTCCCAAAACACTGATATTATATTTCAACTACTTGTTCTTGTTAGTTGCTAGGGGGAATTGATTTTCTTGTGTATATGAATATTTTGAAATGAATGTTTCGATTTACTGCTTTCCTGTCTTGAAACTCAACAAAATATAGTGTGTTCACTTTTGACAATTTGTCTCAAATCAATATTTTTAGTAAAAGTGTTATGCCGTTTCCATATTCCCACTGGCATGTTGGAAACAATATTGGTTAATCAGACAAGTGATAATTGCCCGCCAATCTACTGTTATTCTCCGATAAATGAATTTTCTGCATGGAACCGATTTGTATTTCTCCACTATATGCCTCTCAACTTTCTCGAATTCAATACGACAACATCAGTTAACAAATATATCGCAAGAATACATAACATTTAAGAAAAATCGGGTTTAAGCTACGAATTTCATTTCCAAATAACATATATATAATTGTGGATGTTTGGATTTTTTATAACTTTGTAAATTTCTTGAAAGAGGAACTACGTTTTCACCAACGTTCTCATAGTTTATTATCCGTGTAATTCCGAAGTTAACTTACCTTTTCGCCGCCAAATTAGTGAACACGATATGACAGTGACATAACTTGTATATATTTATGAAGATATCATTCAGATAGATTCCCCTGAATGTACATTTCACACTTGAATCCGCTAATATCCACGACGTTGGCAGCAATAACAGTTATAACTCAAAGTAACATCATTAGAACAAAGACTGATTGTTTGGTAAATCATTTCTATTAAATAAATGATTTTTGATTAATTACTGAATAATATTCTGTATTCTACACAATATGTATGATTATTTTTGTAATTACGTATACCAAAACCGTAAACAAATAGTCTATACCGTGTATGTGTATATATTTCAATTTAAACGCAATTCCACTCTTGTAACTTTCTTCGTAGTTTCTCAATATTGTGTAAATATATTTACTAGACTAAGTGGTGCGTGTTTATATATTTACAATGTGTCTGTAATATATTGTTTGTCTCTGCATGGTGAACAGAATTGTCTCAGTAATATGGGTAGAACGTCCTGACCACGATATGTATAGGAAATTGTACGGGTTCGTGTAGGTTTACAATTCTAAACTTCTATCACGGGGGGGGATTTTTTCTCTCTGGGTTCTCCACACTTGCCAGGGGGGAATCTCGTCTGGTCTCTCTATCGCGTCCCCTTGAGGTGCGGGATCGGGTTAGTCACTTAAACTTTACAGTCAAATAAGACACACACAACGAAATACGTTTCAACTCTCGTCTTAGTCGGTCAGTCGAGCACTCTATAAGACACAGCGCCCTGGGGAAAAGTCCCCAAGACTATCGCAAGGCTGAACCAAGACTAGCCCAAGACTGCGTCTCTCTGGTGTTCTCTCTCTCTCCCACTGAGACCAACGACTTAGACTGTTTATTACTTATTAAAAACTTAACCAATTACAAAGCAGTAAAAAGACTCTAGGGCGGGGCCTTCACACATTCAACTTGCACATAGCCAATCAAACTAAGTACTGAACAAATCATATCTTTTGATTAATCGTTCACTACATTAATAACCACGAATACCAAACTGTCAGAAATAGCGGTCCGAATAGCGACGGTTATCTCGTAATTAGTTCCAAATCACTGAGTCGAGTTCCGTCCAGAACTTCAAATAGCCGAAACGATGACAGACATAACACAGCCATTCGCTAGTAATCAGCTAATTAAGTCGGACAACAGATACGCAAAAACAAATTCATCACACTTCACTGTTGTGGGTAGAATGTTGTAAACATCACGAGGCCGACCGACTTATACCACGAAATAAGAGAAAATGGGAATACAAATAAAACAAATATCCACGGTTTTGCGATGTTATTCGGTGGTTGACCAATACGGATCTGCA